AAACCCAAATGTCTTCAGTGAACAACAGAAACAAAGGAATTTGCCTTACCGTTCCAATACTTTTGGAGGGGACTGTATCTGAGTGAGGTAAAATACAGCTTTGATGGACTGCAGAAAATATTCATGGATATAGAACTCAAGAACATAACATGCAGAGTGTGCATTCTGAGTATCAAGCTCTAGATATGGATGTATCAAAGAAAGACATTTGGATACGGGAAAATGGAAGGGGCCATTGTTGGTGTAAATAGGAGAGAAACAGACTTTTATTAAAAACTGGCCTTTCTGATTTTCTGTGTGAACAGTTGTGTCTGTGGTATAAATATTGTGGCACTTATATCAACAATGAAAATGTGAATGTCAAACTTCGCAATGGCAGTAATGGTAATGTTTGTCTTAAACTTTCTTATGCACTGACTTATTTTTGTGTTGATTTGTAAAACGCATACCGGCTAGCCTAACTGTCAGCAAAATTCATTTTGGACTTCTTTTTTTGTATATTTATTAAATTATTTTATTCTTTATTTACAGGAGCTCAACTAAATTAAGCATTTACTGACAAAAGGTATTTGGTTTTATTATAAGTGAAAATTATTTTAAAATAATGCAAATGTATCTTGTATTTATGGTTAAAAAAAATGTATTATATTGACCAACATAAGTAGAGTAGAGTTGTAACTAAAGAAAATAGATTGATTATGGTATAATTAAAAAAATATAGTTTGTACTGAAGAAGAAATTTAGTTGGGTAAAGTTAATAAAATTGCTTGTAACAAATTATAGCATTTTTATTAGTTTAGTCCAAAGGAAAATGTAAATATACTTGGATGTTATAGTAAAAAGTAGGTTTTTCCAAAATAAAAATGTAACTTGTACCAAAGTTAAAGAAAAAGATTCATAGTCTCTATATTAAACAATATTTTTACTTTGTGTGCATGTATTTTTTTTCTTGTGTAGAAGTAATATTTTGATTGATATTAAATTAAAGTTTCAACCAAATCAAAAATGTAATTTTAGACTAAATTAATTATAATTAAATATAAATAAATAATATATATATGTAATTAAAGACTAAATTTTAGAATAAATTTAGCTGTAACAAGTCACAGTAATTTTATTTAGGTTGGTTCAAAGTATCATTTTTTTCAGTGCACACCTGAGCAGCATGTATGCTAAAATGCTTTGTTTACCTCACTGTGACAGTGCAGCAGGAGCTAGCAGTGAAAACAAGGAATGGAGAGTAACTTATATGGACTCTAAATGAGCTGAATGAAATGGATTTGAAGAAGCAGCAGCATGAAAGTGACTTATGAATAATGTGTTTGGTTTTATCAATATTAGTTGTTTTAAAATATGTGTGACCAAAATATCACTGTGACGCACTGCTTCGACATGAAAATAGAACCTTTAGGGTCAGGCTATATGACTTATATATGATGTTGATGGTGAATTTAAGTGTTAACCAGGTATGTTGTTTTTACAGTATGCAAAGAAGGTGCAAAGACTGGGTTTTTGGCATGTTCGGAGTGAAAGAAAAGCATGGAAGACCTGTTCTGAGGCTGGTCAAGAAGAGGTCCTGCCATCATCTGATTCCATTAGTGGTGAAGCGTGTGCGCCCTGGGACATTAATCCTTAGTGATGACTGGAGGGCATATAGGGGTGCTCTCACCAATTTGGGCTACAGGCATTTCACCTTGAATCATTGAAGGTGGTTTGTTGATCCTGTTAGTGGAGCTCGTACTCTGAAATGCCAAGCTTTTGAAAGAGCATCTTGCAGTCATAGAATGGACCTACTGGCTTAGAAACAAGCATAAGAAATGAATACTTGGTCGTTTATTGAAGGACCAAATTCCTTATCTGCTCTTCCCAGGCTTTGCATTTCACTGCCTTATACTGTTTTAAGAATAAAGAAAATATTATCAAAGTAATTTTGTTTTCCATTGTACATTGTGTGTGTAAGTTTGAACTTGATGTTCATATTCATGTAATTTCAGGACTTTGCCATCATTAATAACTCATTGTTCATTAGTGTTTCAAAAGGAAAAAATCAGCACTTTAGTTTAGGGGACACAAACACGAAGTCATGAGAAGCCAATGCTTAGTTATTGATGATGTATTTGGATGTCAACAGAATCTATGTGTTGTGATCGGCCACTTTTGGGGTCTGCCAATTTACCTGCAGGCTACTATGAAGAAGACATGAACATGCTTATTAACTTAGATCATGATTAATGAAACACATTATATCTCACTTTAATTGATTAACTCTTTGAGGTGTGGATTCTTGTATATTCCCGTAATAATTCAAAGAGTCTTACATGCATGAAATCATTGTTTTTAATGATTGGTGTACAATAACTTTAACTGTACCCACGATGGATAGTTAAGACTAGTTCTTTTTTCACTAACAAAGAAAACATCATGATCATGCTTAATAAATCATAATTCATGATCATGTACTCATCTTAGTTAATGTTTTAATTAATGTGTTGTTCATCCATGAAGTCAAGAATGAAAGACTGTGAACTCCTGCTAGTTCCTGACGATTCATGAGATATTAATGCATAAATAATGCATAATCCATGCATGAATCCATGATAATTCATGTACCCTTACTGTAGAGTGTTACCATTTCCTGCTAGATTGTGCATCTTTTTCAGCCATTTGTAATGCAGAGAGAGTGAGAGAAACTAAACTTGGATTTTACCTCACACATAATCTGCCATAATGGCTACTTTTGATGTAGCATATTCACATCTAGTTTATCCCTTTACCAGCACATTTAATTATATCCAAAGCAAGCTACGAGGTCCGTGCGTGAAGTATAATTTATCCCCAGTTGTTCACATTGGATGATAAGTATTGTGCTAATACTTGTGCTAATTCAAATGTAGATTGACCCAGAGCCGACACTGCCTAAACGATGTTAGCACTGTGCCTGTGTTATTGTCGCATTGACTAAAGACGTGCAATGCAATTTAGCAAAGCGTCAGCTTGTTCCATTATCTAACTTGTACAAAGAAAATTGAACAAGAAAGTCTAAAATCGGGAACAGAAACAGCTTGGACCCTACGAGAAATGATTTCTCAACCACCATCAGGCTCTAAAACATACCATCTATAATAAAGTGACCTAGAGAAAACGCTGCTGTTGAATGAATGAATATCTACAATGAGGACTTGCAACTTTGAAATTTCACACAAATGTTTTACTTTTGAAAGAGGAGCGAGAGAAGTTTGTTTGGCTAGGAAGCCATGATCGATACTTGTTCAGCTCACGTTCATTAACATGTCCCCTAAGTTACAGACATGCGGCTCGCAGATATATTTACCATTACTTCATTTAGGCAGAATAAGTTAAACGCTATAGTTTAAACACTCATTAACGTTGGCGCTCTTCCACTGATAAACATGGCATTAGCTAGCTTTGTGGCTAATCTAATTTAGCTATGGGCATAGCTGCTGTAAGCGATGTTAGAGAATATTTAGAAGTGATGAAGTAGGGAGAAATGGGAATAGGACTGTTAACTAGAACTGCCACACTGTTTAAGAAATAAATCTACAGTCAAGTTTGTCAGCAGCGTAGACTCCACCACTTAACTACTGGAACATTAAACATACTTTTATGACCCCGGAGGAAACCGGGATAGGGCATTGAAAAATGGGAGTCTCAAGGGAAAATCAGGAGGGTTGGCAAGTATGGTCATAAATGTTGTCAGACTCATTTAGGCTAAGAGGAGATGTGATGAGGGCTATTTTTATTATTTAAATTATGTAATTCATGTGACACATAACCAATTCACTGTGAACTCGGTTGGTTTTGTATGCTGTGACTCTGGTCAGCTACTTGCTTTGTTTTGTGGTGGATTTGTGGCGTTGTTTTCAACAGGGGGGCTGCAGAGGGCCTTCTGGTGGGCAAACTATGTAACACTCAGGACATGATTGAAGGATCTGTCTGTTTCTTTTTTACTTATCAGTAAACTTATCACAGTTAGAAACACAACCTATTTAAATGCAGTTAGCTCATCAGCTGATTAATCGGTCGGGTACTACTATCTACAATTCAATAATACATCAAAGATAGCATCTAAATAACAAAAGGGGTTGTTGGTCAGTACATTCAAAATCTGACTAAGCCGCTAAGCCTACTTGATTAACATTTGCAAAGGGTTTAGCCACTTTGGTCAGTTCAGATAAAACATATTCATACGGTCACATCAGCATGTGTCAGTCCTGTGTGACCATATTATACACATTCTGTTCAGGCCATCACTTTAACCCACTGATCAAAATACTATATACAGTGTTCCTTTCATCCTCCATAATTTCTCTCTTCTTTTTGACTTCCTTAAAGTGTCTTCATCTCTTGAATCAGACTTCAAACAGAGGATCTTTCTTTTATGGATAAATATTGATTCATTTGTGCACAGTTGGCCCGATGGTGTGTGTTACTCTTCTGCTGTTTATTTCATAGGGGACGGCCAGATGGTGTGCCTGTGGAAAATATTTCATCTTGGCAGTATTGAATGTATCAGTGATTTCTTAGCTGTTGGCAAATAGCTGTTAGCTGCATGGCCCTCTTCCTGTCATTAATTGTCTTTCCATTTAACATTGTAATTTCACAATTCCTAATATTTTGTGTAGGGGTGTGTGTGTGTGTGTGTGTGTGTGTGTGTGTACCTGTGTCACCTGAGTCATTCAACCAATAGATGCAGAGTGTGGCTATCAGTGCCTTTTGCTAAATATGCTAATAGCCCGACACCTGTTTGTATAAGAAGGGGAACACACACCTCCCCATCAAGCAGACACTCAAACACTCCCACGCAACACACGAGAAGGGGAAACAAAACGGTTTTTAAGCTTCGCTCGAGGTTGTTGAAATTCTTTGATGCACACAGACAGGACACATCCCTCACCTCTATATCTTTTTGTATTTATGTGGCCAGCCAGCAGTGTCAAATAGGCTCTAATCTCTTCTCTCTTTCATTCACTTCTGGGCAGTGATGGAACCCATGACGGTGACGACGTCGGTGGTCGGATCGGACGAGTTTGACCGCAACGCCCCGCGGATCTGCGGCGTGTGTGGTGACAAGGCCACTGGCTTTCACTTTAACGCTATGACGTGTGAAGGCTGCAAGGGATTCTTCAGGTGTGTGTTGTCCCTGCATGTCTTTTTGTGTGGATGATGGGATTGTAGGTGTGAGTGTCTCTGCTGAATGTAAGGTGTTAGTAGGTGTTATTAGCAGTCTTTCCATGTGGAGGTCATGTACTGTACCGTGATTTTTCTGCCGACCCTTAACTACATTTCAAATTTCAAGACAAGTCATTAGTTAAAAATTGTAAACGTTTGTTCAGTTTTTCCCTGTTCAGAAATGATACTTGATACAGGCATTGAACTTTCTTTAAAGTTCCACAAAAAACAATAATGCATAACTTATGAAACAAATGATCAAAATTATTTATTTATTTATCAGATAAATGTTTTTGTTGACTGTTATAGTACACTGGCTGCCATGCTCCTCTTTAAATGTTGCCATTGCCCAGTAGCAAACAAACGAAGAGGAGTATGTGTGTATGACAGATTGATGTCACTCTACACTGTGTTTGATGTTATGGTACATGTGTTTTTCTGTCTGGCTGCATGACAATCATGCGTTGTTTTCAGAATAATATACATTATTCAGTGGCGGCCATAATCCTTTTGTTTGTGTTCCTTTTGTCCCTCTTTCTCGTTTTCTCTTCACATACGCGATAGGATTCAGTAATTTAAGTATTATGATTAATTTAAATTTCTTCAGCAGTTATAAACATGTTGCATCTGGAAGGATTAAAAATCTCCATCCAGTCCTTTAGATGAAACATTAGTTGCAGCGTGCAACATGAAGTTACCTCCCTTTGTCCCAGAATAAACTATTCTGAATTAGTAATTGACTAATTACTAATATAATCTTATAGGCGCAGTATGAAGCGTAAAGCCTCCTTCACCTGTCCATTCAACGGGAGCTGCACCATCACCAAGGACAACCGGCGTCACTGCCAGGCCTGTCGTCTTAAACGCTGCATTGACATCGGCATGATGAAAGAGTGTGAGTTGACTTTTTCTGACCTCTGACATTCTAGCAATGCTGCTGATTTGTTCAAGTCATAGCATGAGATAGAAATACAAGTTCAGCTACAAATATTTTACTTTATTTATCAAGTTTTTATGAGTTGTTGTTGGGTTGTCTTCACTGTTTTGATCTTATATTATATTGGGTGGTTAGCTGTACATTTAGAGTTTTCTGACAAACACAAATTAGCTGGAAGACTAATTCCAGTGCTGTAACCACATTGGAAATAAGTCAAATCACATGATTTGAGAAAATTACTGAAATAACAACACACATACCCTAAAGACAGATATTTTAAATTGTTTAAATTTGTCTTTATTAAATTTAAAGACTCACAACCAGATTCAATGACTGTATATCACAAATTACCACATACTGGAGAAAAGATATCTGAAGGTTAATACTGAGATGATATTAAGGCAGGTTGCCTCCTCTTTGACATTTGCTTTGATGTAATATTCATTCAGGCATCTGAAGTAGAGCTGCTGCTTCTAATGCTGCTTCGGAATCAGTGCTTAACTTGAAAACCATAGCTGCAAGAAATACAGTTAACTATTTTTTTCTACTCTTTTTTTTTGCACATCCGGTGTTTTAGCCAGTGCCATATTTTAAAACATTCCCCAACTTACATCACACCAGTTCGAGCAAGGCATTCTACAGCAGCCTTTTTAATGAGTGTGTTGTGTCTGGCTAACCTAGTAACTTTTATTTTTCCATTTTGGATTCTATTTCTGGATTCTAATTAGGGAAGTAAAGTAAAAAATCTCCCACTACAATCCAGTATTAAGTGCAATATTCAAAATCAGCCCAAATAAAACCTCATAACTCTTATTTACAGTGAGTACTCTTTATTATACTACCACTAACATTATTACAGTGATATCAAATATATTATTTGCTTTCTAATGCTCATAGTGAGAAAGCTTCTGAAATGCAACTTACGTCATTTTTAGATGCACCAACTGCCTGGAGAGATTAGTGTCACGTTGGCTGGTGCAAGCAGTAAACTAGTTTCCTGCTCTCGCGGCATTTAACCTAATATTTAAAGACATTCATGAAGAACAACAACCAATAGAATCAATGGTAGGGTGTAAATTTATCTGCTTTGCAACAAGGAGACAGGCAATAGTAGACATGCATAAGAGAGGATGTACCACATGGAAAACTTTTTTATTCAAGTGGCTACAAATAATAATTTGTGTATTTAATCCTGTTTTTATCAGATGGGGTTTCTATCACCAGTGCAATTTAGATTTAGTTTTAATAAGAGTTTAGTAATTTATCTTAACCGGATTGAAATTACTCTTGTCTTTGTGTGTTTGAAAGGCTGTTTAACACAGTTCTGCTATCAACCAAGTTGGTTATGCATGCCAGTAATACAAGTACAAGGGACAATGAAACATCACCTCACCCTATGTTAACACAAAATGGCAAATAATGACATTGAGGGTATCTTTATTGAACATTTTGAGGTTTTTACATCATCACCTGCATGCCACTTATTTAATCACAATCATTTTAAATGTAAAAGAGTGAGCGATATTCTTATTAACAGGGTTGTAATTCAGTGTGCATTTGATTTTCTTCAAACTAACCCTCTAAAAGGATGTAGCACCAACAACAGTGCATCAGCATAACCATGACAAGTAGTAGATGAGTATGAGAATAAGGAAAGGAAGGAAGGAAGCCAGTCTGGTTAAAGTCCAGTTTAACAATGGTTCTCTTTTTTCAGAAATACACACAATGGTCTGGCCAACATTATTTCATTCACAGGCTGTGTGTGTGTGTACATGTTTGGGTGAAACAGATGATGCAACATCTAGCCACATGACATTGGAGTGTCTGTATATCATTGAGAGAAGAGAGACTTTTCAGTATAAAATGGTGTCTTTGTTTGTCTTACAGCTAGTATACAAGTTTATGGGATTGAAGAAGTCCACTGTAGTCATGCTGACTAGTGCAGGTGCTCTGCTTGTCTCTGTGGTGTCTGTGTGTATGTGTAGCATTTCATGTGACAACACTGAAGAAATGACACTTTGCTACAATGAAAAGTAGTGAGTGTAGAGCTTGTATTTGCTGTCCCCTCAAAATACACACAGCCATTAATGTCTAAACCACTGGCAACAAAAGTGAGTACACCGCTAAGTAAAAATGTCCAATTTGGGCCCAATCAGCCATTTTCCCCTCCCCAGTGTCATGTAACTTGTTAGTTTTACAAGGTCTCAGGTGTGAACGGGGAGCAGGTGTGTTAAATTTGGTGTTATCGCTCTCACACTCCCTCATACTGGTCACTGGAAGTTCAACATGGCACCTCATGGCAGAGAACTCGCTGAGGATCTGAAAAAAAGAATTGTTGCTCCACATAAAGACGGCCTAGGCTATAAGAAGACTGCCAAGACCCTGAAACTGAGCTGCAGCACGGTGGCCAAGACCATACAGTGGTTCAACAGGACAGCTTCCCCTCAGAACACGCCTCGCCATGGTCGACCAAAGAAGTTGAGTGCACGTGCTCAGCGTCATATCCAGAGGTTGTATTTGGGAAATAGACGTATGAGTGCTGCCAGAGGTTGAGGGGTCAGCCTCTCAGTGCTCAGACCATGCGCCGCACACTGCATCCAATTGGTCAGCATGGATGTCGTCCCAGAAAGAAACCTCTTCTAAAGATGATGCAAAAGAAAGCCCGCAAACAGTTTGCTGAAGACAAGCAGACTAAGGACATGGATTACTGGAACCACGTCCTGTGGTCTGATGAGACCAAGATAAACTTATTTGGTTCAGATGGTGTCAAGCGTGTGTCACAGCAACCAGGTGAGGAGTACAAATAAAAGTGTGTCTTGCCTCCAGTCAAGCATAGTGGTGGGAGTGTCATGGTCTGGGGCTGCATGAGTGCTGCCTGCACTGGGAGCTACAGTTCATTGAGGGAACCATGAATGCCAACATGTACTGTGACAAACTGAAGCAGAGCACGATCCCCTCCCTTCAGAGACTGGGCCCAAGGGCAGTATTCCAACATGATAACGACCCCAAACACACCTCCAAGACGACCACTGCCTTGCTAAAGAAGCTGAGGGTAAGGGTGATGGACTGGGCGAGCATGTCTCCAGACCTAAACTCTATTGAGCATCTGTGGGGCGTCCTCAAACAGAAGGTGAAGGAGAACAAGGTCTCTAACATCCACTGGCTCCGTGATGTCATCATGGAGGAGTGGAAGAGGACTCCTGTGGCATCTTGCGAAGCTCTGGTGAACTCCATGCCCATGAGGGTTTAAGGCAGTGCTGGAAAATAATGGTGACCACACAAATTATTGACACTTTGGGCCCAATTTGAACATTTTCACTTAGGGGTGTACTCACCTTTGTTGCCAGCAGTAAACTCACTACTTTACATTGAAGTATCATTTCTTCAGTGTTGTCACATGAAAAGATATAATCAAAGAATGTAGAGCATGAAAAAGAAACACAGACAGACTAAAAAAACACACAAAGCAGACAGCAAACACCCTAAAAGGCAAGAAATAAACAAAAGCCACTCATGCACACACTGTGTCACCAGCCAGGGTCACGGTCAGGAGGTCGTGACGTTGTTATGCCAGCATAACTGTCATTTGTAATGGAAGATAGTAGAGTTCCTGAACGTGTCTTTGAGGATTAATTCTAATTCTGCTAGCCTCTGTTTTTGTAGGTATGTGTTTAACATATGTATTTATGTGTCTAACTTTATGATAGCCTATATTTTTATTGATCTTTGTCTAAGCTTTTCCACCACTATTCAGTTTGAACTGTGCTGGTGTATGTGTGAGCTGTGCCAACTGAGCTCGTAGTAAACACCCCTACACTATCCTTGTTTGGCAGAGGTTAGAGAGAAATAACCTCCATGCTTTTATGTGTGAGTGGATGTATTTGCATACTTGCTGTGTTTATCTGTTTGCGTGTCTGTATATTTGTACCAGGATTAGAATCACTGGAGAGTTTGTGCTGCCCTATTCAATTACTTCAAGTAAAGCTGGTTAAATTCAAAGTCAAACAATAATCCACCATATGGTTAGTACGCAAACACAAACTCTTACATTTCCATTAAAGGAATAAAGAACCATTCAAAGTATAGCATTCATATACAAAATTAAATGTCCACAATTCATATAATAAAGAAACAGACTTCAGATAGTGTGTGATTGACGTGTATATGTATGTGTGTATGAGGGACCACAAATGGCTTAAGAATGAATAAATAAATAAATAAATAAATAAATAAAAGCTGAAAATAATTAAATACATAAATAAATAAGTTTTATATATTTTTGTATTGAAAAAGGCTATTTCTGTATTTCTGTATTTATTAATGCATTTATTTCTGTATTTCCACATTTATTTACACCTGCACCTGTATGCTGATTGAGTGGGTGGTGCCAACATCAGTCTGAAGCAGAATTGGTTATAGCGATGTGATCGGATCTAGCCTTCAGCTCCCTACTAGCAGTCCTTGCAGTGGGCCACTACTCACCACACCTCAATATTTTACTATTTAGCATACCCACAAGCTGCCGGTCTTTTCTGCCCTCTCCATATGAAGTTCTCTGGGCGATTCATATGGCTCTAAATAAACTGCGTTACCCAGGAGGCACTATATGACACTCATCTGTTCCCATTCTCACCTTCCCGCTAATCTCTGTAAGCAGAGACAGAGGAGGGAGAAGATCGGCTACCTTGTTATTACACATTCTTTTCATAAAGTCATAAAATGACCAATCACAGTCTGGATGGGGCGAGAGAGTAAAACCACCATGTAGACAATTTCTCTCACAACCAATAAAAGTGAAATAAATACCATAATCTCAACTAATACGGTGTTGAAATGTTACAAATATTCTATAAACTACCTGTAGGCAGACTATCCAAATAAAGTGTAACCTCAAATATATTAACAGTATAGGCCTACTTTTTAGTTAATACTATAACATTATACTAACACACTAATTT